TAGACTTTATGAGACATGCGACACTTCATTGTGAATTAGTCAGTAAACTTGGTATTAGATGATTTTGCCCAACTGTAGGCTAATTTCATGTTCTCAGTATGCTCACTAGGCTTGGCTAAGTGATGTTCTATAGGTTAGGTGTTTTGAGCATTTTATTTTGTAAATTTTTTTGCCAGGGGGTGTGTGTGCTCCTTAGGGAGAGAGAGAAGGAGGAAAGAGGGGAGAGAAAAAGTGAGAAGGCATCCCCATAGGAGATGGTCACGTCACAGTCCTTCTGGGGTTTGGGGCATACATACACAGGTGCCCACCATGTTCCTCAGGCCACTGGGTCCAGGACTCATACCATGCAACACCCATGTGGGATACAGCCAACTTAACTACACACTGCTGGCTGGACCTAGGCATTTTCAACTTAAGATATTTCCAACTTACGATGGGTCTACTAGTCTAACCCCATAAGTCGAGCAGCACAGTTGCAAGTTTCAGTTCTAATTGAAAGCTTCGGGTCCCAGGTGTACATTGATTTTTCTTCCTAAACACTTAGAAGCTGGGGACAATTCACTTACTCCTGTTTAGAAGTGAAAGGCCCTCATACCATAATGTGAGATTTGCACTGTTTTGTTTTGTTAATGACTGTAGATTCATAGGAAGTTGCAAAAATAGTAACAGAAGGCCCCAGGTTTGCACCAGGGGTAATGTAGTATGGGATTGCTGCTATTGGAATTTCCAGAGACTTTAGCTGTGCTGCACCTGAAATTTCCCCCGCTGGAAATGAGGTTCTCGTCCTTGTTTGCTGTTACCTTTTTTTCCCTGAACAAGCACTTAACCCATCTGAGTTTTGACTTCTTTCCTGTAAACTGAGGAATTCAGTCACGTAGTCTGACTCTCACGACTGGCCAGCTGAGAGCACAGCCACTTGATTGGAGTGAGTCACTGATTAGCCCTGGCTGGACGCACACCCCGATTATTATCCTTCCCACCTTACTTCCATGGTACAAGCGGGGAATTTTAAGAACTGAAATGCTGTTTAGGCTCATATCTAAGGTAATGAAATAGAATAATAAACACAACAAAGGTTGAATATCCCTTTTCTGAAATACTTGGAAGCAGAAGTATTTCAGATTTGGGAATATTTGTATATATGTAATCAGATCTTGGGGCTGGAACCCAAGTCTAAATGCAAAATTCATTTACATTTCATTGACCCCTTACACGCAGTATACACATAGTCAGATGGTAATTTTAAACAATACACATTTTTATATTGTAGCATTTTTACCATGACCTATCACAGGTATAGAGTTTTCCATTTGTGTCCTGTCGATGTTCAAAAGCTTCAAATTTGGGAGGATTTTGGATTTCTGGATTAGGGATGCTCAACATGTATAGAATTGAATAATTTAGAGCTAGAAGTGAAAATCGAATGCCATAAAGGAGAGAATACAAAAGCATATAGAATTACGTCCTGTCCTTAAGAACTAACACAGAAGGCTAAAACACCTACGAATTTTAAGTGAAAAAGAATGACCCCAGAAAGTAGATTTAAAGTTAATAAAATGAAGATATTTTACCACTGGTAATATTTGGATATAACTGTAATGGAGAACTTGCATGGGTCTTAACTTAAAGTCATTACAATCTCTGCTAGAAGTTATATGTCTTTTATTTCTGAAATAAACGATTGGGATGAAGAGCACTGTCAGTTTTTGTATTAAGTCATCTCATAGAGCCTGACCGAGTATTTGACATGATTAATCTAAATGATATGACCAGAGTTACATGAGGAATGTGGATCTATGCCAGATGTTCTGTGGACGAAAGAGAAAATATCCCAGCCTAGAAGCATTACTGACACTGCATCTAGGACAAACCCGAGTCTGGGGGTTATGTCGTCCCTCTGAGAGAACTGCCGTGTTCTGTCTCACCTTCTCATCAGAGTAAATCCTTGTACCACTTAAATTCTCCCTTTCGTTCAATCTTTACAAATTTTTTATTTCCTTTGGTTTAATTGCTAAGCTGGAGTCCTTTGCCTCACACGTATGGTTTTGTGCTGTGTGGGCTCTGGAAAAAGCCAGTCCCTGTTGTGTTCCTTGCACCTTAAGAGAAAGGGAAGTTGCCCAGAGTTGGAAAGTAATACAGAAAGGGGCAGTGCTCCCATCCACATGTTAAGTGCACACAGCCAATTCATACTTACAGAAGGTTTTTTTCTCCTTCCCTTACTCTGTCCAAACTGCTGATTCTCTCACACCTGACGACCCTTCTCTCAAATGCCCGTCCTTGGTATTTCTTCGAAGCTTTGTGCACCGAGGGCGGCCTGAGCCTCTGGACCTTCACTTGGGCATGTTCCTGCCCACCTTGCTTCACCAGGCAACCGCGGAGCAGCAGGAACGCTTCTTCATGCCCGCTTGGAACTTGGAGATCATTGGCACTTATGCCCAGACAGAGATGGGTCATGGTACGATGTGTTCAGTCTACCTTCTGGGTTGGGCGGGCCCTGCGAGCTTACAGTACAGAGTGCCCGCCACACACTAGCACAGCATGTCAGCGCACCACGGTCTGTTTCCATGACCCTCTGTGGAGTTCAGACACTGCTGTGGTCAGTGGAAATGAAAAGTTCGGGTTATCGTAGCGATGAGCTGATTTGTGTGTGTGTGCGTGATTCCCCTTCAGAAGATCAAGTGCTGCAAGTCAGGCTTTTATTTGTCAAGTGGCTTATCGGGTTCACAGGAGGTGTGTGGCATTTGTACAGAGTCTGAACCCATCTTTTTTCTTTGTTACTGGTTACCTTTACTGCTGATGCCTTAATGAACTTCTACAGATTCCAGAAGTGCAGATCAGTAGTAATGCATGCGCTTTGCCATGCTTAAAAGAAATGAGTGATTTATCTTAACCAAAATGTGCAGCATGTGCTTTGAAGTTATTTGTACCTTGACTCACTAAATCCAGTAAAGTTCTGAAGGTGACTGGGCCAGAAGTTAGGAAAATCAGGATAAACCATACTCCGAGCAGTTGGTTCCAAATTCGGAATGTGCCACCTTTCTTTTCTCTTGCCATTCCCCATCTGCCCTTCTTCATGAGCTAGATGGGACAGGAGGTGGTAGCTGTCCCTCTTACTCTCTGGTTTTCTTTCTCTTTTTTTTTTTTTTTTGAGAGGTTTTTGCTATAGGGTGTGCATGCTCACCAGGCAGAGAGAGACAGAGAGACAGAAAGAAATCACTCCCAGGAGGGATGGCCATGCCACAATCCCCTCTTCTCCATTCTCCTCTTGGGATCTTGGGCATGCATGCACACGTGCCTGGTGTGAGTTTAAGCCACTGGGTCCAAGACTCGAGGGACTCCAACCAAGGTCAACTACATGGGAATCCAGCGATGTAGCCATTATGCCAACTGCTGGTCCCCCCCTTCTGGTTTTCATTCATTTGCTTTGGGCTTCTCTTTTTCTGCTGCGAGGTTGCTGGAAAAGCTGGGTCTGGTGTATTTGCCACTTGCGTATATATAGCTGCCTCTTCTCATTCTGTCAGTGCTGAGTAGTATTTTTTCTTTTTCAGAATTATTTTTATTTAACTTTATTTATTTATTTTAGTTTGACCAGAGAGGGACAGAGTGAAAGGAAAATCAGAAACCGAGCTGCCGGGTCCAGAACTCAAACCACAGTCAGCCACGTGGGAGTCCAGCACCATTAACCACCATGCCATCTGCCGGCCCCAATGCTGAGTAGTATTTTAAAGGACCATCATGAGATTCAACATGGGAAGCTGTTGTATTTTGTTCTGTTGTGCATTTGAAAACATTTTGTCTTTATCTGTTCCGGTCAATTCGTTGCCTTTTTTCTCTAAGAGCTTCTTTGGTGAAAGGAATCTTAAGTCTTAAGTGTCTGGCTTTTGACTTTGCACTCGGGAGGTTGTGGATTGCATGTAAACTGGCCATTTCTGCTTGGAAATTTCTAAGTGTTTCAAAATATTTAATGAGGTCTAGCATATTATCAAAGTGGTTTGGTAAAAGATTGTCAGCATTTGCTTCACTTTAGTATTGTTAAAAGAATATCACCCAGAACATTTTTCTGTAACTCTTTTCAAGGTATTTTGATGTATTTGTATTAGGATTTAAAACAGAAGTCCCTGTGTATGTTCGGTAAACATGTGGGACTGGGAACTTGCTTGTCGCACTGATAAACCCACTAGGACTAAGTTGAAGCCTGGACTTGGGAATCTATAGGAAGAACTCGAACCTCATTATTTGGAACTTTAGGAATTTTGAAAAAGCTACTGTTCTTGGGGCTAGCAGGTAGCATGGTGGTTAAGGCTCTGGACTCCCACATGGCCAACCATGGTTTGAGTCCTGAACCTGGAGGCTTGCTTTCTCACTTTCTCTCTCTCTCTCTCTCTCTCTCTCTCTCTCCCTCCCCCTCTCTGTGTCTCTCTCATCAAATTTTAAAAAATAAGAAATAAAAGTAAATAAATATTTTTTTAAAAAGAAAAAGCCACTGTTCCAATCCTTTCCCCACAATGGTCACACCTTTGTAAACTCGTACTTTCCATTCCAACAGTCATTCTAAAGCAGATTCTTAGTGTGTAAGAATCTGAGCCGAGGTCTCTTCCCGTCTCGTGTTACCTAGCTCTGCTCAGTAGTACAGACGTCCAGCTGTTGAACCCCTGTGGTAGATAGGAGTTGGTGTTGGCACACTTGAAACTCAGGTGGGTTTAGAAGGACAGTTAATGTCCGGTTACATTCATGTACTGTGATCTTACACAGATACAGTTATAAGCTGCCTTTACATTTTCTTGATCTAAATAAATGTCATAAATCCTCCAAGTTACATGTATAAATGGAACATACACGCTATTTCTATTTTTCAACCTGTTGGGAAACTTCGCTAGGCGTAGGAAATTGTGTGTTGGTTATCAATCATTTGTAGTTCATCTACAGATTTTTTTTGTTTTATCCTGTACCTATTTTTTTCCTCATAGTTTATCTGAAGTAAATGCAATTTATTTCCTTAGGAACACACCTTCGAGGCTTGGAAACCACAGCCACGTATGATCCTGAAACCCAAGAGTTCATCCTCAACAGTCCTACTGTGACCTCAATTAAGTGGTGGCCTGGTGGGCGTAAGTGGATTTTTTTCAGCCTTTTTTGGGTGTTTTAAAGATTCATTATGAGGGAACCAGCAGTTAGCGTAATGGCTATGTCGCTGGACTCCACATAGTTGACCATGGTTTGTGTCCCGGACCCGGTGGCTTAAAACTCACGCCAGGCACGTGTGTGTGTGCGTGCCCAAGATCCCGAGAGGAGAATGGAGGAGAAGGGATTGCGGCATGGCCATCCCCTCTGGGGGGTGATTTCTCGCTTTCTGTCTCTATGTCTCTCTCTGTCAGTCTGGCGAGTGCACACGCCCTATAGCGAAAACCTCTCCAAAAAAAAAAAAAAAGATTAATTATGAGATTGCATTTAGAATGTAGAGCTTACATGAGAACATACTTTTGAAATATATATTTTAAAAATGTAGGTTTTAAGTTATCCTAAGCTACTTCACATTCTTGTAAGGTACATGTTGTATATACATACACATTTTATAGAGCCCAGAAAGGACAGCTATCTTACTTTGCTTTTCTTAGTTTTTTTTATCTAAACCTTTGCATATATTCTCATAGTTTCCATAGTCATTTAAAATAACTTAGCATTCCCTGTTTGATAAGTCATTTACATATTGCTAAGCGTTTGAGTAGCCTTGAAGTTTTTTATTATAAGTAACTTTGACATGAAGCTTTATTTAGTGTCTTCTAACGTTCTGAATTGCCATCTCAGGGTATATATTTCAGATGTAGCCAGTTGTGAAGGATTTTTTTTTCATATTATGTATGCGTGTGTAGTTTTTGTTTTGTTTTTACGTTTTAGCCACAGGGCACTTGCATTTGCCTGAGAGAGGGAAAGTGAGAAATTACCCCTCGGGGGATGGCCATGCTGCAATCCCTTCACCTCCATTCTCCCCTTGGGATTTTGGGTGTACAAGCACATGCACCTGGTGTCCAGGACATGTGGACAAGCCACCAGATCCAGGACTCAGATCACAGTCAGCTGTGTGAGAATCCAGTGCCTTAACCACCACGCCATTTGCTGGCCCCCACATTATATATTTTTAATATGCAACATTATTGGGGCCAGCAGATGGCCTAATGGTTACATCACTGGACATCCATGTAGTTGACCATGGTTCAAGTCCCAGACTCACTGGCTAAAAACTCACGCCAGATGTGTGTGTGTGTGCATGCCCAAAAGGAAAAGGAATTGTGGCACGGCCATCTCCTCTGGAGGGTGATTCCTTACTTTCTATCTCTCTTTCTCCAGCAACTGCATGTGAGAAAGAGAGAGATCTTAGAAAAATAAAAAAAGGACCTTATTACATTATTTTTTTAAATGTTGCTGCAGGAGCCTGCACTTGATGGAGGGGCTAGTAATAAAGTACCCTCCAGGAAGGATGGCCTTCTCCATTCTCCTCTCAGGATCTTGGGCATGCATGTGCACATGCCTGGAGTGTTTTTCAAGCTACCAGGTCTGGGACTGGAACTGCACAGTTGGCCATGTGGGATCCAGCTGCCTTAACAACCATGCCACCAGCTGGTCCCATTGTTACATTTCGATAGGATGGAAATTAGCATGCAAAAAAGAGAAATATTTCTTGATGTACCAACCAAAAAGCCACCATATTCCATGGAACTTTCTGCAATGATGAAGATGTTTATCTTTTCTTAGTGTAGTAGTATATAGCTATCAAACACTCGAAATGACTGGGGAACTGAACCTCTCATTTGAGGGTGCATGTGCTTGCCAGAGAAAGAGTGCACACCAAGAAAGCACCCCCTGTGGGGAACCGTCATGCAGCAGTTACTTCTCCATTTCTCCCTCTCTTTTGGGTTTTGGACATGCACACACATGGCCAGTGTGCTTTTCAGGCTGCCAAGTCTGGTATTCAAACCACATAGTTGGCCATGTGAGATCCAGCTCACTAACTACCAGGCTGTAGGCTGGCCTCCTGACCCTTCCATTTGGTCCTCTTGGATTTTTGGGCACATGTGCCCAGCGTGGTTTTTTTTGTTTGTTTTTGTTTGGTTGGTTGGTTGGGTTTTTCTGAAAGGTTTTTGCTATAGGGCATGTGTGCTCACCAGAAAGATGGAAAAAGACAAAGAGACGGAAAGCGAGAAATCACCCCCCAGGGCAGATGGCCACGCTGCAGTCCCTTCTCCTCCATTGTCCTCTTGGGATCTTAGGCACGCATGCACACGCGCCCAGCATGAGTTTAAGCCACTGGGGTCCAGGACTCGAACCACAGTTGACAACATGGGAGTCCAGCGACATAGCCATTACACCATTTGCTGTTCCTGCCCAGCGTGTTTTTCGAACTGCCAGGTACGGGACTCGAACCATGAAGCCACTGGCGTCCAGCTGCCTTACCACCTTATCACTGGCTGTCCCAGAGTCTCTGTTTTAAAAACTATTAGCTTGGGGCCAGTGGGTGGCATGGTAATTAAGGTGTAGACTCCCACATGTGTAGCCACAGTTCAAGTTCTGGACCTGGCAGCTTAGTTTTTCACTTTTCCTTTGTCTGTCTCTCTCTAGTCAAATTAATAATAATAATAATAAATAAAATGAAATAATTCTTAAAAAAACTATTAGCTAATACGAATTCCCTCTGAAAGCCAGGTATGCTCTCAGGAAGGGCTTCCTGGACACACTTTAGTCAAACGTTATTTTGGCAAGTGCTTTCTCCCTTCTTCTGCCTTTTTTTTTTTTTAAGATTTATTTATTCATATATTTAATTCCATTTGTCATCATTGTTTTTTAATTTGACCAGAGAGAGAAAGGGAAAGGGAGAAAGCAAGCCACCTGGTCCGGGACTCAAACCATGGTCAGCCACGGTCAGCCATGTGGGAATCCAGCACCTTTAACCAATACATCACCTGCCAACCCCTTGATTTGGTTTTTATTAGCTTAACTTTTAACTATTGAAAAAAGAAAACAGTTTTACAGTTTATTCTTTTGCTATTTCCTAGCCATACCAAGTCTATTGCTTTATTTGGAAGTGAAAATTTGGGGATTGTGTTTACTTGTAATTATCAGCCTTTTCTACTAAAAACTAATATTTCCAAGAAGTTTTCATCCAGTTTCAGCAGCAAAGATTCCCAAAGCAAGATTTCACAAATAGCTTCTCCAAGCAGGCATTTCTTACAGCAGATCCTGATTAGGACCTCTGTTTTCTTTCTCCTTCTTTCTTTAATTTGCCAAAGGCATGTGCACTTGCCAGAGAGACAGAAATAAAGGGAGAGGGGAGAAGCACCCTGTAATGGGGCACAGCCATGCTGCCATTCCCGTTCCATGCTTCCACCCTTTCGGGATCTGGGGCACACCTGCGTGCACGTGCGCCTGATGTGTTTCTCAAGCCGCCAGGACAGGAATTTGAACCATGAGGTTGGCCATGCAGGGTCCGGCTCCCTTAACAAGGGGGCCACAAGGCTGGCCAGGACCTGTCTTTTCCAAACCCCTAAACTTGAGCAAAAATACGAATTTTACCCTCCCTGAACGCTGCCCTTAAACTCAGCACGAGAAGTGGCGAATTTCACCTGTGAGAGGATGGAGGGGAAACCCTAAAAGATTCTCAAGCACAGTGACTTTGGCTTTAAAACCTGGGAAACGACAAGTAAAGCAGAAGCTATTTTTCACTATCGAACCTCAAGAAGTTGAGGGTTTTTTTGAGAGATTGCTCACATTTGTAACAAAGATTTAATGGAACAAAGACAACAGCAAGAAAGTAGGGTGGAATAGACAGTTATTTTTTTTAAAAAAGAATGATTTTATTTAGCTTTATTTATTGATTTATTTTTTATTTGACCAGAGAGGGACAGAGAGAAAAAGAGAGAGAGAGTGCAAGCCACCAGGTTCAGGACTCAAACCATGGTCGACCATGTGGGAGTCTAGCGCCCTCAACCACTGTGCCACATGCCAGCCCTTCCCTCTTCTGTCTTTACCCTTTGAAAACCTAAGCACATATGGTCTCTTCTCTCTCTCTCGTTCTCTTTGTTGTTGCAGTTGGAAAGACTTCAAATCATGCGATTGTTCTTGCCCAGCTTATCACTCAGGGAAAGTGCTATGGATTACATGCCTTTATTGTACCTATTCGTGAAATTGGGACCCATAAGCCTTTGCCAGGTAAGAGTTGCTCATCAGAAGTCAAGATTGAAGTCAGTTTAAACTGAGCTGCTTCTGCAAAGAGTGTACTGAACAACTAAAGAGGAGGAGGGCAGCCCACACTCCAGAGTGCAACTTGCCTCTCGTCTGTGCTAGGTATTACCGTCGGAGACATCGGCCCAAAATTTGGTTATGATGAGATGGACAATGGCTACCTGAAGATGGACAACTATCGTATTCCCAGAGAAAACATGCTGATGAAGTATGCCCAGGTATATTTAGATAGAAAATAGGAGCAGAGAATCAAACATAGGGCTTGCAGTGGCTGCTGATAGATAACACAGGATTAGAAGGGTCTGTTCACTTAGTAACTAGTAACATTTTTCTTGTCGTGCTGCTTTTACTATGTCAGTGAAGATAGAGGCATTTGGCAGGGGCAAGAGCATATTCTGGTTTGCTAAACCAGTGGTTCTCATGTTTTAGCATGAGTTAGAATCACTTAGTGGACTAGTTGAAACCCACATTGCTAGCCCCTACCCCAGTTTCTAATTCAAGGTCAGGTACAGAGATGTAGTAACCGAGACAAGTGCTAGGTGGTGCTGATACTGCCATTCCTGAGCCCACACTTGGAGAACCACTGACTGCCCACGTGGGATAACAGAAGGAAACATCAGTCCTCTGCTCTGCTTCCAGGTGAAGCCTGATGGCACGTATGTGAACCCCGTGAGCAACAAGCTGACCTATGGGACCATGGTGTTTGTCAGGTCCTTGCTCGTGGGAGAAGCTGCTCGGTCTCTGTCTAAGGCGTGCACCATTGCCATCCGATACAGCGCCGTGAGGCACCAATCAGAAATCAAGCCAGGGTAAGGCTGGGTCATGCCAGGATCCCATTCAGATACCAGAACTGCCAGGTGTGTTTTGTCCATGCAAAACGAGCCAGGTGGCTGTGTAGCAGGCCCACTACTTACTATCTAGGCTTCGGTTTATTTTTTCATTTTTTTGAGAGGTTTTTACCTTAGGCACATGAGCTCGCCAGAGTGAGAAACACAGTGAGAGGTAAGTGAGAAATCACCCTCCAAGGGGTGTGGCCATGCTGCACTCCCTTCTCCGTTCTCCTCCTGGTATCTTGGGTACAAACACATATGTGCCTGGTGTGATTTCCAAGCCACCAGGTCCAGGACGCAGACTTTTGGTCGGCCATGGTGGGAGTCCAGCGATGTAACCGCTACACCATCTGCTGGTCCCATAGGCTTCAGTTTCTTTTCTTTTTTTTTTTTTTTTTAAGAATTATATATTACTATCATTTTTTTATTTACTTAGGGCATGTATGCATTCACCAGAGAGAGAGAGGAAGAGAGGGAAAGAAAGCAATTCAACAGATCTTGGATTCAAACCATGGTTGGCATGTGGGAGTCCAGCCCCTTAGCCACCATACCACCAGGTCCCCATCCTTTTACTATTAAAGTATTAAAAAATTGATTACAGCAGACCTTTGTTAATTTTTACACTCTAAAATATTTAACTGCACATACTGAGTCTTCTCCAAGATCGTAGTCAAAGTGTAGGTTACTCATATACTGGATTTTTTCAGCATTGCCTTCCTCTGGTCAGAGTAACTTGCTTTGGACTTTATGTTGTTCCTTAATCATACAAGACAAACTAGACAGATCGGAATTTTTTCTAGACATCTAGAGAATTCTGTCTATGTAAGCCAGCTAAGAGCATGGGCTTATGTTAGGAGCCAAACAGCCTTGATTTCAATTGAGGATCTGCCACTTCATACCGGAATCATCTCAGGCAGTTTTTTTTTTCTCCTTGATTTGCCAGAGAGTGCATAAGAGACAGGGGAGTGAGAAAGCATGCTGCAGTTCCGCTCCTCCATTTTTCTCTTCTTTCTGGGTTCTGGGCATGCATGCACATGCATCTGGCATGTTTCTCAAGCCACTAGATCCAGGACTCAAACCACACAGTGGGCCATGTGGGATCTAGCCGCTTTAACCATCATGCCCCAGGCCGACCTCTGGGAAAATTGTTAACTACTCAGTTTCTCTGTTTGTAAAATGGGGATGATCATAGTAGCTACCTTACATGATCGTGATTAGAATTGAATAAGTTAAAATAGTCGTCCCCTGGTAGCTGCGTGGGATTTGTCTCAGGAACCCCCTACCCTGGTAGGCTATCAAATTTCACGGATGTTCAAGGCCCTTATAGAAAGTGGAATAGTGTTGGGGCTGGCAGGTAGCGTGGTGGATAAGGGCGCTGGACTCCCACATGGCCGACCATGATTCAAGTCTCACACCTGGTGGCTTGCTTTCTCACTTTCCCTCTCGCACTCTCTCTCTGGATCTTTCTGGTCAAATTGAAAAATAAGATGAATGAATAAATTTTTTTTTTAAAGTTAAATAATTCTTAAAAAAAGAAAGTGGAATAGTGTTTGCATGTAGTGTGTGCATATCCTTCTGGATACTTTGAAGGCTTTTTTTTTTTTTAGTTTATTTCTTCCATGTGTAAGATAAAGAGCACCCTCAACGTGATCTTAATGGTGCAAGCTTCCCCCATCCTCAGCAAGGCCTGGATCGTGTGTGTGCATGTGCCTGGTGTACTCATGGAGGTTTCTGGACTTGAAACATGAGCCTTCCCGTGGGTGATTGCTTTAAAGAGCATCACATTTGATCGCTGTGCCACCATCTGGCCCCAACCTTCTATATACTTTTTTTAAATAATTATTTTAATTTTATTTATTCATTCATTTATTTTAATTTGACCAGAGAGAGAAAGGGAAAGTGAGAACCAGGTCCGGGACTCGAACCGTGATCAGCTATATGGAAGTATCCATTGGCTTAACCACCATGCCACCTGCTGGCCCTGCCCTCTATATGGTTTTAAGTGACAGTGATTATTTTAAATACCTCACATGCTGTAAATACTGTATAAATAGTCATTACACTGGGAACCATCAGATGGAATAATGGTTTTGTCACAGGACTCCCATGTGGTCAACCGCAGTTAGAGACCCGGTTAAACTCAAGCCCCCTAGCGGCTTAAACTCATGCAGGGTGCATGTGCATGCTTGCGCGCCCAAAATCCCGAGAAGAGGATGAAGGAGAAGGGATTGCGGCATCTTCCCTGGGGGGATGATTTCTTGTTTTCTGTCTCTGTCTCTCTGGCGAGTGTACGTACTCTATAGAAAAATATCTCTAAAAAAATAAATAAATAAATAGTTGTTACACTGTGTTTTTTATTTTATATTGTTTATTATTGTTATATTGTTATTTTTTATTGTTGGTGCCCCTCTAGCTAAAATATTTTCCATCTGCAATTTGTAGTCATGGTTGTAAAACTGGCAGATACTAAGGGCCAATTGTCTATCGTAAAGTACTTGAACTCTAGAACTTGGTACATAGTGAGTTCTGTCTAAGTAGGAGAAGGGATTGTGGCATGGCCATCCACCGGGCGGGGGGTGATTTCTCGCTTTTTTGTCTCTCTGTCTCTGTCCTTCTGGTGAGAGCCTGTGCCCTAATACAAAAACCTCTCAAAAAAAAAAAGTATTACATCATTTACTCATTTTTTACTTTTTCTCTGTATTTAGTGAACCAGAACCACAGATTTTGGATTTTCAAACCCAGCAGTATAAACTCTTCCCACTCCTGGCCACGGCCTATGCCTTCCAGTTTGTGGGTGCGTACATGAAGGAGACCTATCACCGGATTAATGAAGGCATTGGCCAGGGGGACCTGAGCGAACTGCCTGAGGTACGTGTCAAGTCTCACTCACTTGTGGACACCTGTTTTATGTGCGCCTGTTGGTTAATGTCCAGAGAAAACTAGTACAGAGATTTCTGAAATTCCCTTTCCTTAGAACTCTTTCTCATTGAAAGTGTCTCAGAAATGCAGATACGTGGGTTTCGTTCCTCAGTATTTCAAGTACTAGTGTTGTACCATGTTGGTCACGTGGCAGTCACAGGAGCATAAGTGGTGACTTCTTTGCCCAGGGAACAGTTCAGAAGGGGGCATGGGCGTGTTAGTAATTCAGGCCAGTCAGGTGATGGCTTCAGTTTGTGTGGTGGTGGCCACCGTTTGGACCGTGGCTGGTGCCGTGAGAGAATGCGTGTTTCGCACTGCTCGCGGGCTCTTCGAACCACAGATGTTCTCACAGCTGGGCTTGTCCCCTCAGCTTCACGCCCTCACTGCTGGGCTGAAGGCGTTCACCTCGTGGACGACAAACAGTGGTATCGAGGCATGCCGGATGGCTTGTGGTGGGCACGGCTACTCCCACTGCAGTGGTCTTCCGAATATTTACGTCACCTTCACCCCAACCTGCACCTTTGAGGGAGAAAATACTGTTATGATGCTACAAACGGCCAGGTGAGACTACAACCTGTAAGTTTTCTGCCCCTAGGACTTTCTGGGTCCTTTTCATCAGTTCTTGTTCCCATGTTTTCTCTTTACCATGTATTTATGTGTGTCCTGAGGTGTCATTTTGTTTTTGTTTTGGTCTCCCATCCTTCCGGCTGTTTTGTCTTGTAGTCACCCTAGGGAGTATCAAACACTTGTCATAGTCGAAAGCCATTTCGAGAGTGGCATTACTAAAGCATGCATACTGGTGACTCTTAGGTTCCTGATGAAAAGTTACGACCAAGTGCACTCAGGGAAGCTGGTGTGTGGCATGGTGTCCTACTTGAACGACCTGCCCAGTCAGCGCATCCAGCCCCAGCAGGTGGCGGTCTGGCCGGGTATCGTGGACATCAACAGCCCTGACAGCCTCACCGAAGCATACAGACTGCGTGCAGCCAGGTGAGCTCACCCTCAGGAGCGAGGGTATGCAGCCGTGGAGGCCTGCAGGACTGGGGCCTGACGGGCGAGGCAGGGTTACTGTCCTCCTTAGTCCCCCACTTTTCTTTGCATTCTTAATAGATTGGTAGAAATTGCTGCGAAAAACCTTCAATCTGAAGTGCTGCACAGGAAAAGCAAGGAGGTCGCATGGAACCTAACTTCCGTTGACCTCGTTCGAGCAAGTGAGGTCAGTGGGAGCTTTCTCTTGCCCCACCGTCTTCCCTGCCCCAGGTGTCCCCGTTTTCCTAGTGTGGAAACTCTAGTCGCTGCATATTGACTCTTTCCGAGGTTCTCACACTCAGTTTTCTTTTTATCTAGGCACATTGCCACTATGTGGTAGTTAAGCTCTTCTCAGAAAAACTCCTCAAAATTCAAGATAAATCTATCCAAGCTGTCTTAAGGAATTTATGTCTCTTATATTCTTTATATGGAATCAGTCAGAAGGCTGGGGATTTTCTTCAGGTCAGTATTTTTAAAGTAGAAATCTTTTCATTTGTTTTCTTTTATTTTTTAATTTGCCAGAGGATGCATGTGCTCACCCGGGAAAGGGGGGAAAGGGAGAAAGCACCTCCCCAGTGGGGCGCATTCATGCCGCAACCCCTTCTCCATTCCTCTGTCCCGTCAGGATTTGAGGCACCTGTGCCCCGCGTGCTTTTCAAGGCACTAGGGCAGTTGGCCATGTGGGATCTGGCTCCCTTAATAGGGGTGCACAATAACCCTCTTAAATAATGCAAATACCTGTTTATATACATACATACATTTCATTTGTTTGTTTGGTTTCTTGTTAGGGGAGCATCATGACAGAGTCTCAGATCGCGCACGTGAACCAGCGTATAAAGGAGTTGCTCACTCTGATTCGCCCTGATGCCGTGGCCCTGGTGGATGCCTTTGACTTTCAGGATGTGACTCTTGGCTCTGTGCTTGGTCGCTATGATGGGAATGTGTACGAAAACTTGTTTGAGTGGGCCAAGAACTCCCCACTAAACAAAACACAGGTAAAAAACCAGTGTCTTTTCACCTTTTGGTATTCCTCATTTAAGCATTGAGGCAGGAAAGGCCTCTGCAAAGAGATTCACCCAAGGGCTCTGAAAGCACTGTGGTCACTGCTGACAGTTCTGATGTCACTTTATTTGAACAACAGGTTCAAAAGAGAATTGTTGGGACCACCAAATGGCCTAGTCGTTACATTGCTGGACTCCGATGTAGTCTACCGCAGTTCTCAGTGGCTTAAAACTCTTAGGGGGCGTGTGCATGCATGTATATGCCCAAAATCCTGAGAAGAGGAGGAGGAGAAGGGATTGCAGAGTGGCCATCACCCTGGGGGATGATTTCTCGCTTTGTCTCTATGTCTCTCTGGCGAGTGCATGGCACCCTGTAGCAAAAATCTCTCAAAAAAAAAAAAAAAAAATAGGGCCGGCAGGTGGCATGGTGGTTAAAAGGTGCTGGACTCTCCCATGGCCAACCCCGGTTCAAGTTCCAGACCTGGCAGTTTGCTTTCTCACTTTCTTCCCACCATCCCTGCCACCTCTGGTCAAAATAAAATAAATACATAAAGTTAAATAAAATAGTTCTTTAAAAATAATTAATAAAAAGGAGAACTGTGTTTTCCCCATAGTGAGCAGGGTTTGTGTGCCCTTTATCCCAGCCAGTTGTGTTTCATCCATCACCTCCTGGGGATTGTTTTGAAACAAATCCAGGACATCAGATGCTTTTATCCGTAATTTTTTTTTGAGAGGTTTTTGCTATAGGGCGCATGTGCTCGCCAAAAAGACAGAGAGAGACAGAGAGACAGAAAGCGAGAAATCACCCCCTAGGGTGATTTCGCCGCAATCCCTTCTCCATTCTCCTCTTGGGATCTTGGGCATGCACGCACATGCGCCCGGCGTGAGCTTAAGCCACGGGGTCTGGGACACGAACTTCGGTCGACTACGTGGGAGTCCAGCGACATAGACATCACACTAACTTCTGGTCACACTTTTATCCATAAATTTTTAACATGTAGCTCTTAAAGGTAAAATGCTTTAAAAATAGCCGCTGTACCATTGCTACACCTAAGCAAATGAACAGCACTTAATATCATAAGAGACCCAGTCAATAACCCAGTAAATATCCAGATTTCCAAATTGGCTTTTTTTTTTTTTTTCTTTTTTAATATAAGCTTTTGGCCATAGTGTGTGCGTGCATGCCAGACAGAGCCAGAGAGAGGGAAAGTGAGAAATCACACCCCAAAGGGGGGTAGCCACGCCTTAGTCCCTTCCCCATTCTCCTTTTAGGATTTTGGGCATGCAGGCACATGCACCTGGCTGTGATTTTTCAAGTTGAAGGGTTTGGGACTTGAGCTGTGGTCAGCAGCACCTTAACCACCATACCACCTGCTGGCCCCATTTTGAAAGTTTATTTTTTACAATTTGAATCAGGATGCAGATAAGGTCCAAATAACGTCTTGATTGTGTCTGTTCTTTCAGGTGGCAAACTATCAGCATGTCTTCTCTCTCCCCTCCCTACAGGTCCATCAGTCTTACTACAAGCACCTGAAGCCGCTGCAGTCCAAACTCTGAAGCACGGGGACATATGTAACCTGTGCTGGCAAGCAGCTGTATGCCTCCCTTCACACCTGACACACATCTGCGTGGAGTTCTTTATCAAACTCAAATAGCCGTAGAGCAGATGATAAATTGACCCCTTTCCTCTTTTCATAAGTGAAGAGAAAATGAAGAGATTTCCGAGATTAAATGGGAGGAAAAAAAGAAAAATAAAACGTATTTTAAAGTGCAATTAACACTGGAAGAGACCTAGTAAGCATTGGAAATAGTGTAAGAAATGCAGTATAACTCCTCTTTGTAATGCTGTTAATCCTAGTTGGCTGTAACTTTTGATAATTGGCAGAACTTAACTACTAAGTAGTTAATTATTTTCACAGTTTAATTGCTAATCACTGGGTGTAAAGTGTTTTAAAAACAAAGGTATTTTTTAGGTAGAGTAGAACCCTTCTGAGCTTTCTTGCTAAATCTCCTGCCACTCCTACAAGGGAGCCTGGCTGAAAAGCAGGACTAAAGGGAAGCAATTAGAGGAAGAAGCTAGTCAGAAAGCTTGCTGTCGGTGAGGTGGTGCCTGACACATCCTGTGTGTGAGTGCTCCCCTTTGCTGATAGTTGCTCCTGACTATTTTAGTAACATTTTCGGACAGTAGGACTTCTTTCAGCATAGGCCTGCTGCGGACCATTGTGTCATGTAATAAGGAGCTGGTCTTCCATCCAGAGGGTCCTGAAAGTGTTGCTCCATTTGTCCCCCACTTCTTGGGAAAGATGGATAGCAAGGTTTTCTCTACACAGGGCTTTTGACAGCTGCTGGGACTTCAATCAGTGGTGTTTGATCACCTTTCCTTCTCTTGAAGGTGATACTGTGGGGCCAGCAGGTGGCGTTGTGGTTAAGGCGCTGGACACTCCCACATGGCTGGCCATGGTTCAATTCCGAGACCTAGTGGCTTGCTTTCTTCCTCTTTCTCTCTCTCTCTCTCTCTCTCTCTCTCTCTCTCTCTCTCTCTCTCTCTCTCTCTCTCTCTCTCTCTCTCTCTCTCTCTGTCTTTCTCTGGTCAAATTACAATAAATGAATAAATAAAATTAAATGTTTTTTTTTTTTAAAAGGAAGTGATACTGTAAAGAAAAGAGGGGGAAAATCATAGTTCCTCCCTAGTAGAGTAGGAGTAGGGAGAGCTCTAACCCATGACCTACTTTGGTGAACATATTAACTAGATTTTCTGGGGCAATCCACATTTCAAAATCTCAGTCATTTTGACATAAGCTATTAAACCATCTGGAGTTTACAAAGTATTTGTAATAAAAATAAAAATGTTACTCAGGTCACCCCTTAAAACACAGAAATTGCACAGAAAAACAGTTGCCACAAACCATGTGTTGATTTTTGGTTCAGAAAATAAAACCATTCAACTATGGTTAAAGGAAAGATGGGAAGTTCCCTAGATCCTGTTTCTTATTGTTGAGTAGCTGGCTTTTTTTTTTTTTTTTTTTCTTTTTTTCAGTATGTCTGTAGGAGCTTTACAGTCTCCGTTCCTCTTCAGTTGAAATATAATTTACACTTAAATGTTAAACATGGCTGGGTGCAGTGGCATGTGCCTGTAATCCTCGCTGCTCTGGAGGCTGAGTCAGTGAGGATTGTGAGTTTGAGGCCAGCCTAGGCAACAAAGTGAGACCTGTCTCAAAAAAAAAAAAAAAAAAAAACTAAGATTGTATCTCTTCATGACTTTTTTTTCCCCTTAGAATCAATGTAAAACAACATAAATCACTTGGTTTAGTTTTTTAAACTTGCTAATTGTTTATGAAACCAGTTGTCCTAGAATCAGTCCTGAAAATATAATAATCCATTAGAAATATAATTCCTATCTTGGGACTTGACATCAAATCTATCCCAGGGAAAATGATAATGTGAGACTTTGGGGTTATAGACTTGTGTTTTAATACAAGCCTTTAACCTATCCACTGGGAGAACTAATTGATAATTGTGTTAAGAATGAAGGTAGCACATGGTAACCTCATTTGAAAGTACATCTTGGCAATAGTTTAGATTCTGAGAAATAACAAACTTAAATGGCTTACTACTGACCTGTTGCTTTTAGAATTGTTTCAAAATTAGTGTTTAAATATTTTATTCACAAACAAGTTTCTGGGCAGGGCCTGTGTGTATGAAATGACATCCGCCTAATCTGGCTGCATAGATGAGGGATCTATTTTAAGAGGTGTGAAGAGGGTATAGACACACAGAGCCACCTTTGATCCAGCACCTCAGAGTTTTATTTAAAAACCAAATCTGACATTTGATACTATTAACAATGGAATGCTTTGTTGTAAACTTTATTCAGAGCAGTCAAAGAATATAAACATGGTAAAACCTCCCTGATTTGTACTATTAAGAGATACCACACAAACATACGTTTAAATTATGAAGAAATCCAGAATGTAGATTTATTAGGTTTATTTAGCACTAGGAAAAAGGAGGAAAGGTGAGACTTGCTTGGACAGAGAGCCATTGACTACTGTAGTCCTGGCAGTAACTGCAAATGGCTCTCCTCAAGGCAGGAGGCCTGGACGGGGCTCGGTGTATTGGTTGACCGGCTATAAAGGAAGCAGCAGGTCTAGTTTGCTCTTCCCAAGAAGCCAGATTTTAATGAGTTGAATCTATTGGGTTCTTTTGTGAGCTGTTTTCACAAAAAATACAAAGATTAAATTTCAACCAAAAATTCTTCTCCAAAATGATAGTACTGAATAAAATTAAATTTTCTAGTAGATAATATTGATGTAAGCTGCTTTTCAAAAACGCTTTTCTAGGTACGGCAGGGGGTGTGGTGGTTAAGGTATTGGACTCCCACCTGGCCAACTGTGATTCAAGTCTTGGACCTGGCGGATAGA